ACAGGACAGTCACTGAAGTTCAACTCGTCAGCAATACGTAACGGAACCGTTACCGAACTCGTCTTATCGTCCTGATCATTTATATATACCGTAATTGACAAACCTGAAGCATCCTCTACTTTGGTTTGTTTCAGCTCAGATGTTTTCAAAAAATAATAGCAAATAAAAGTAAAATTTTGACGGTTTTCAAATAGTTGCTTATTAATTTTTATTAAAATAAAGCATTTCTTTTTCAGTCTTTTGAAATAAAAAAGTTTAAACAACAAAAGCATTTTCCGTTTAAAACTTAACTGGGCAAAACTAAAACGCCCCTTTCATCAGTTTGAAAATAATATCTAAAAATTAATATTTTGTAGTAAATCCTTAATTTTGGATGACTGAATTGCGTTGGTCAGTTTAAAACATCAACTTTGTTTATTCGCAACTTAGTTTTGCAATGCCTAGAGCTATGCTTGGGATCATTGTTCTGCTGAAACATCCATTTTAGTGGCATTTCCTCTTCAGCATACGGTAACATCACTTTTTTTAAAATGTCGTTGTAAACAAACCGGTCCATTATTCGATTGTTTCAATGTATAGGATCAATCCCGTGCACATGGAAACAGACCATAACATTACCATATTGAGCCATCCGAATCTTTAATATTATATTTTGAATCATTTGATAATAAAATTGTATTCTATTTCTGAATACTCCAATCGAGATGAGCTGTGACAAATTCAAGTCTGGCCTTTCCATTTTTGCTGAAATAAAGGTTTTCTAGCTGGACGCCGACAGATCAACCCGGCCTCAACAGCTCATCTTCTAATTGTTCGTGCATTAACTGGTAAACAAAACTGTTTCTGTATTTGATTGAAAGAGACTGTCACATCAATTTGAATGACCTTTTCGACCAATGGATCTTCTAATTGTTCGTGCATTAACTGGTAAACAAAACTGTTTCTGTATTTGATTGAAAGAGACTGTCACATCAATTTGAATGACCTTTTCGACCAATGGATCGTCTCTTCGAGTAGTTTTTTGATGTCTTTCTACGCTGCGCCGAGTAAGTAGACTATCAGTTTGTTGAAATTTCTTTATTAATCGCGATACCACTGATCTATTCACCTCATATTTTTCACTAATTTTATGTCGATATAAACCGTTTTGCCAATCACTTATTTTATTTTTAAAGTCGGATGAATAAGTATTTCTCGCCATTTTTGATTTATAAACTCTAAATCGTAGCTGAACAGTGACGCCGTCATCAACCTCTTAAAAATTGAATACAGTACTTTTACAGTAGCGCAGTGATTTGCTAACAGAGTTTGAGTGGTGCTTCAGTTTTGTGCACTCAAATTTATACTTGTAAGAAATTTCTAATTTAAAATTTTGTAACTGGAAAGAAGAGATATCTAATGTTATATTTTTTTATGAATAAACTAGAGGACTCCGTCCACCCGCCGCTCTGGCTAGGGTAACTATTAAATACAGTGAAATTGTAGTTATGAAGAAAATCGAAAATGTTATTTCTGGTGTAATAATCCAAGGGATTCAATTTTGAAAATAATTTGAAAATGATTGATAAATTTTTTTTTAAATTTTGAGAATTTGAAAATGATTGATAAAAATTTTCTTACATTTGTTATGAAGCACAAATAAAGTATATGGTTTTTAATTGTAAACATTTTCAAATTCAATTTAATATAGCTCTTTGGTATCGTAAATTCTGACAGTATCAATAGAAAACGTGGCAACAGGATAATTTCTCTAATAAATTTTCTGGGCAAAATGGTTGCTGCAATAATATTTCCTGTAATCTTTTTGATTACCAAACCTGTACCGTTGTATAATTGAGTTGGATTGAAATTACTCTGAACAATATAATTAGTGAACCAATTTTCATCTGAAGATTATGTGATGTGGGTATATCTAGATAATTTACGTTTTCATTTTCATTAACCACAGTAGCGAATGATTTTAAATACATCATATAGCCTGGCAACAACTGTTGTATCTGGAAATTATTTTCTCAACCTCTACATTTTTGGCCACAATGTAGCCTGATTATTGAGCCAGTTATGATCCATACAATTAATTTTTGCTTTCAGAAATATGCTCTCAATTAATAAAAATTATAGTGCAGAAATTGTATAGCAGAATATGCAAATATTTGGCTGCACTTCACCATAATAGCGATTGCTTAAATATAAGTTGAAGGATGACCAGGCTGTCGGCAATCACCAGACAGTGGTAAGACAGCACCACCGAAAACTTCATCGTTGCGTTTAAGTATTGCATTGTTCTGTGCAATGCTTCGAGAATATTTGTGAGCCATTATGCACTCGTCTCAAATTATAATTGGAATTTTTATCAATACTCTAGACAAATAAGATTATCTTTTGTGATATTAAAGATGTATACGAAAACTATGTGTTGTTATTTGTCGTTTAGTCGTTTTTTTTGTTGAACTAATAAAATATTCAAATGAATTTTGAACACATGGTTATAATTTGAAATATATTTTTTTTATATATAAAATGTTTTGACTCTTAACATAAAGAAGTAAAAAGTATCCTATGTTCGTCCCCTGGTTCCAAGCTACCTCCCCACCAATTTTCAACGGCCCTTGAGTTATAAATAGTGTCAAGATAGTTACACTTGCTTTTATATACATATATGGATATATACATAATTGTAACCCATAATAACTGTCCTACTAATGCTTTTATTTTTTTTTTAAATTTAGGGATAAAACCCAAAGGTTTAGTTTAGTTTTGCCCACTACTGCATGTAACCCTATATCTACAGCTGTGTTCACAAAAATAGCAGTGCGGGAAATGCAATCAAGTAATGTTATTTTTTTTCAAGTTCCGTTACGATTATTCCAACTTCTACGCATTGTTGTTGTAGAATGGAATGTGTATAAAGAAGAAACGAAAAAATCCCGTTAGATTTGCGAGATTTAAGCAAATGAATAACTCTTTTTGCTAGAAGCACCAGTCTTTGGCTGTTCATTAAAATAGCAGTGCGTATCTTGATATGCCAAAAAAAATTTTGTTAAGACGTTTAATTGATAAAAAGTAAGTGGTTTTGTGTTAGTGACTATTATTAACATTAGAAAACACTAAAATAAATTTATATTTTTTAACTTAGTGGGCAGGGGCAAACATTGTACTCCTGAAAAAAGAAATATTATAGTGCAACTAAGAAACCTGGGAAATACATATAAAGACATCCAAGAAATATGTGGATGTTCTGCTAAAATGATTCATAATGCTTTAAACTTTAAAGAAATTACAGAAAATCGTGGTATCCGACAACTACACCTCATGAGGACCGATCTATTGTGCGATATAACAGGGCGCAGCCATTTGCATCGTCCAGCAAGATAAAAAATGACTTAAGCTTGAATGTTAGTGGCGTTACTATTCGGCGACGTCTTAAAGAACAAAATCTCAAAGCGTGCCATCCACGAAAACATCCACTGTTTGCCACCAGACATGTCAAAGCACGTTTGGAGTTCGCCAAAAGTCACCTTAATTGGCCCATTACAAAGTGGCGAAATATTTTATGGAGTGACGAAAGTAAAATTGTGTTATTTGGAAAGGGCTCCAGACAATATGTCAGACGTCCACCTAACACAGAGTACGATCCTAGGTACACTTTGAAGACAGTTAAACACGGCGGATTGAGTATTATGGTATGGGCATGTTTTTCTTACAGTGGAGTGGGTACTATATTCATGATTGATGGGATCATGGATCGATCTGCGCAGTCTCCGGATTTAAATCTAATTGAAAACCTATGGGGAGATGTTAAACGATATGTTGCAAATGCAAATCCAACATCTCGATCACAGCTTTGGGAGGTTGTTCAAAAATCATGGGAGCGGATCCCTGTCAAGCGCTGCCAGGACTTGGTGGATTCTGTGCCTCGCAGATGCCAGGCCGTAATAAAAAATAATGGGTACACGACTAAGTACTAACCCAAGCAAACAAATTAAAATAGTTTTTTGGAGCTCAACAATGTTTTTTTCAACTAATTCCACTGTTTTCATTACTCACTGCTATTTTTATGAACAGCTGTAAACAGCACTTTTTTGTTTAAATTAATAATGTAAAAAAAAATAACATTTTGAATAATAAATTGATTTGTTTTTGTTTAAAATAATCACAAAGTTAAAACAAAATTAAATTTGTGAAAATTCATTTACTTTTTGATATATAAAATTAAGTTTGAAGTTGCAGCTCATGAGCACTGCTATTTTTATGAACACAGCTGTATCTCGATTGGTTTTAGTTAAACCAACAACCGTTTAGTGAGCAAAACGGTTATACTTTGTAGCAACATTTTGCGAGAGTATAGAAAGTTTAAAAAATAAACCTTGTTTTTATACTTACGTCATATCATGCCTATAAGCTTGACAAATTGCTTTCTTGCTCGCTGCTGAATATGCTAGAAATATCAAAGTTAGATTTCCTTCATCAACTGAGGCACAGAAAACATTGCCTTGAAAAAGTATACTGTAATAAAAAAATTTAATTTGTTGTTATCTTTACGATGGAAGGCCTTCTTACTTGTACAACTCGTGAAACATTTTCTTTGCAGCAATATTTGTATTTTCATCATCAAAGTTCTGCTTCTCACTGGTAACAAAAACGCCTTTTAAAATAAGCGCATAAGAAATAAAATTATTTAAAACATTGTTTTGAATAAAAAGTATGATACAAGTATCTTTATTACTGTTATGAACATAGTTTATGATGATGGTCATACTTTTTTGGTAATTCGATAATAACTAGATTATCTATTAATAAGACGAATTTTTTCTTCCGATTGATTTTAGATGAATCTCGAAGGATTAGTGATGGTCACTGCAAGAAGCTTCAGTTGGAACTGGATCAACGAAAACAGTCATTACTTTTAAGATAATTGTTTTTTTTCTAAATTTCTTTCAAGTTAAGGCCTTAATATTATTTAATTATGCTATACTTTTACTTTTATAAAATAAAAAAATTTTCTGGCAAAAAAAATTCAAATTGTTATTTTTTCATGTCTCAGACTACACCCAAATAAATTTGTTATTCAAATGACAGCATGGATAGTTGATGCTTTTAGCTGCAAGTTTTACGCGCAATTTTTATTTTATTCTAGTTTTTTTTTTGCAGTGCTTATCTAACTTGTAATTCTTTTGTCACACAGTGCCTTTCCGTTTCAGTGCCATTGAAATAAGTTACAAACATACAGGTGCATCTAATAAAAGCGTTATAAAGTCAGTGGTCTTTAAGAAAACAATTTAATCAATACTATTGATTTTTTGCTGAAATATGTCTCTTTCTATAAAGGGGAATAACTTGATAACTGTTCACTGCATAATTTAATATTTTTATAATTTAATAATTTTTGTTATTCTTATTCGTTATAAAGAGAGTACAATAAACTTATGAACATATTTTGACAAACAATATTAGAAGCACTCTCTCTAAATTTTTTTGATATTTTCACTGATCAAGTACCAGTTACCTATAATAAGGTAATACAACTTCGGTCAAATGTTTGTCCATTGTTTTTCAACTGATTTACATTACAACACCTGTGTTCTTATTGTTTGTTCTCCGGCGAACTATTGTTAATAAGTTCGATTTCAATAATACTCGCAGCAAGTTATGAAATCTTACAAGCCTATGTACGATTTTTATGCCATTTGGTATGAACTACATTTTAATGATATTGTCGTTTTCCGTCTTTCAATGAATACACCAAACAGGAAAATACAACCCTTACAAATGATTTACATCATTTACTACCATATAGTCGAAATGTATAAAAATTGCCTCTAATCGGTTTTTACTGAAAATCTAACGGTGCTTTCTGAAAATAGAATTAAAAGCATGGATACGTGTTCATTTTCAAAGCACATCTAAGCTTTGGTGAAATATTTCGAAGCAAGAGCTTCAAGGCACTTCAAATTAGTTTGGTAATTATTCGAGTTAACAAATTACAATTATTTTTAATGAACTTTGAAGCTAAAGACATTTTATCAGATTTGTACACTTTGTGAAATTAGTGTTTTATGCCACCTATTTATTTGTACCTTTTTTTGCGACTTCAATGTTTACATAATTTTCCTGTTTTGCACCTAACGGTTGTTTGTATCACCTAAAACTAGTCAAGATAGATATCGAGTTATATATATGTATATATGATCAGGATGACGGGAACAGTTGAAATCCGGGTGACTGCCCGTCTGTCCGAGCATGCGATAACTTATGTAAAAACTGAGATATCTTGATAAAACTTGGTTGGTATTGCAAAGGAGGACGGAATCGGATTATTACAACGTCCACAAAAAGCCATTTAAAAAAAACCCTTAAAGTGCCATAAATAAGCCGCAAATTAAGATACAAAATTGTAATTTGGTACAGGAGATCGCAGTAGCCAGGGACACCTGTGGACTTAAAATTTTTTAGAAGTGGGCGTCGCTCCGCTCTAAATGGTTTAATGTACATATCATCCAAACCGCTCAAGATATATCAATTAAACAAGTCCTTTTATTCCCTCTTCAAATTCTGTGCAAAAGGGGTAAAATTATAACCACGCCCACTCCCCATATAACGCGGGCGAAATCGGACGGCAACAACGCTTAATTCCCATATAAATTTTTAATTCCGTCTGATTCTTTCACTTTATAGTATACAAACAAAACATCACTAAAGTTATGTATCCTTAAAGTATTTCATCTTACGTAAAAGCAGGGTCCCTTAGCTCCATATACCTAACATAAATATTTTCAAACGTCCGATTCCCTTTGTACAGCACTTATCGGTCAATACGATACTTTCCATAGTTTGGTATAAATTTTTGCCAAAACCTGTAGGTATTCCTTTGACTTATTCCTTGCAAGTTCCAAGAGTATGAAATGTTCGGTTACACCCGAATGAACTAAGCCCTTCCTTACTTGTTTAATATGATTTTTCTTTTATAGGTGCAGCATCGGATTAGATGGGGAACGAATTTAACGACAAATCATGTGCAGCTATTCCCCCACTTTCTTAAATATTGTTCAAAGCCTTATTGAAAGGTTGGCGTTCTGCTACTATGTTAAGTATTTTTGCGCATCATCGCCATATAAGTGCACTTAATGTGCTATGTGAGCTATAGGATGTATTCGTCCGATAGGGCCAATCTTTTTTATTGTAAATATATATTTAAAATATTCTTTTTTTAGATTTTTGGTGAAAATTTCATAGCGATATCTCAACGGAAAGTATCTATTGGTTAAATCCTTCAATTACCCCATTATGAATTCTTATTGGTGCGACATTTTTGAATGATCAATAATATCCCATGTTTTATTTGTGTGTACGAATTTACTTGTTTATGAACATTTCGCAGTTCTTTTATTTGATCTGTTAAAGAAATAATTGTATTATTTATTTATGTATGAAAGTTAGACTCATTTCTAATAAATCTTTTATAACAGTAGGTAGCATTAAGGTCTTTGTATATTTTATTATTTTTACTAAGTGATCTATTTCTTCGAAATATTTGTAATTAAAATGTTAGAAGTTTGTAATTTGATGTTGTTGTTGTAACGGTTTTCTAGTCCCCGCTTGGGCGGTAACTTTCAGTTTGGTTGTCGTCTAGGTAATCTAACGGGAGGCCCAGGAAACGAGTTGTTTCGACTGGGTCGGATCACAGGGAAATGGGTGTTAGATGAGTGGGATTCGTTGGGCATGCAAAGAGGTGGTTAGTGTTATGAGGAGACTCATTTCATGCATGACATATATTTTGTATGTCGGGGTCGATTCTGGATAAGTTTAACCTGCTACAGTATCCAGAACGAAGTTGCACAAGGGTCACTCTAGATTCACGTGGCACTTCGATCTCTACGTCTGCGAAGGGTGGTGGTTTGACTCCAAGTACGCCATTCAGTGAGATGGAGTCGGTGAAAGTGTTGATGGCTCCATTGTGAATGGCGGACAGTGCATGTCTAATGTGTGTTGCGTCCGAAGTCTGGTTGGCGTACTGTCCAATGTCGTCGACGTAATCAAGGAAATTCCTCTTGATTTTCCCAGGAGGCGATTCTGCTTCAAGCAGACGACTGCAGGGGTGGTTTCTACGAAACCCCATTGGTGAAAGTAAGTGGTGCGCAATCTTTTGGCATTTCGCGCAGCCGTCGGGTAACACATTCTATGGTCTTGTCTGACGCAGGGTGCAGTGTAAATTGCCGGATTAAATAGCTCGCGCACTTCTTCGGGTCCGAGGAGGCATGGCCATCGAATTGAATTTCAACTCGGTCGTCATGTTTCCTCGGATTAAGCAAGGCCTTGATAGTAGTCCAAAGCTTACTCACACCGTTGGAGAGGTTGCAGAACTCCAAGCCAAGGATCGCCAGCGAGATAATGGTGGAGGCCTAGCCTTCATATTGCACAACACCGTGCAATATCGTCTAATCGATGTTGACATCGACCCCAACACACTACCCTTGAATGTCAGGGTATAGCTGTCCGGTCAGGCGATGTCGAGCTCGAAATATTTAATATATACATCCCCCCAGTTAGATGTTGCCCAACAGGATATCACCCGAACATAGATGCGCTACTTCGTGGTGAAAACCGTTTGGTGCTAGGCGACTTTAACGCGCATCACGATCTTTGGCATTCCTGCCTGTCAAACGATCGTAGGGGGATGGAGCTGGCGGAACAGATTGACGATTTGACATTCTGCACAATGAATGACGATGCCCCCATCAGAATTATGGGCACTTGTAATAGCTCGCCAGATATTACCATCGCTAGCAGTGGTCTGATAAATAGCATAACCTGGCGACCTATGCTAACTCTCGCATCAGACCATCTGCCCATAATTATCTCGATTGAGAAACCTCCCGACTTTATTTCTGTGGACAACCGCACTTTTGTTAACTTTAACAAAGCTAACTGGGTCGGGTTCACAGAATTTACCGAGAGCACCTTCAACGCACTACCCATTCCAACGGACGTCATCGTTGGCGAGAGTCAATTCCGCAAGGTGATCGCTACTGCTACTGCTCGCTTCATACCGGCTGGAAGAATCGCCGAACTCCGCCCTAATTTCCCAGCCGAAGCAGCTGTACTGGCAACCGAGCGCGACACCTTACACCATGCCGATCCCTGTGATCCCCGAATAAGGGATCTCAATTTGGAGATTCGGCAAATGGTAAACCATCATAAGTGGACAAAATGGATAGAGCACCTGAAGTCCTGCAACCTTTCCACCGGTGTAAGTAAGCTTTGAACTACTGTCAAGGCCCTGTCAAATCCGAGCAGACATGATGATCGGGTTGAAATTCAATTCGATGGTCATGCCTCCTCGGACCCGAAGAAGTGACACTTGAGGCCTTGTTACTCCCGAAGTTCACTCACCACCTTAACCTAGCAGAACATCAGCATGGCTTCCGGAAAGTGCACAGCAACACCACAGCACTTAGCGTCATAAACGCCCAGATAGTTCATGGCCTAAACCAGAAGCCACACTGCGAGAGGACGATCCTCAACCACACAACGCTACTTGAGGACATCGAACAATCTACGCTCGCTCCAGGGCTGAAGCGGTGAGCCATGAACTACGTGAGCGGTCGGCAACCATCCGTACTGTTTCGAGGTCAAAACTCCAAACTGAGAAGAATTAAACAGGGGTTCCGTAGGGTGGTGTCCTCTCCCCTTTACTGTTTAACTTCTACATCTCGAAACTCCCTCAACCAAAAGAGGGAATTTCCGTGACCTGCACGATATTGCCGTCGGGCACGATATGGAATAGATGGCATATGCTCGAAAGTAAACAGCTATATCTCTGATCTTTCTCGCTTCTTCTCTGCAAGGAGTCTGACACTCTCCCCCACTAAATTCACAGCGACCATATTTACGAACTGGACGAAGGAGTACAGACTGGATCTAAACATTTCAGTCGATGGCACTAAATTCCGACAGTAAACAACCCTAAAATTTTAGGAGTTACACTAGACAGTCTTTGCTCCTTCATTCCTCACACGTCCACGATAACTGCCAAAGTACAGAGCTGCAACAAAATCCTCAAATCGCTTGCCGGCAGCTCTTAGGGAAAAGACAAAGAAACGTTGCTGGCGACATACAAGGCAATCGACCGGCCGGTCCTAAATTATGCAGCTCCAATATGGCCGCCTGGATGTAGTGCCACGCAGACGAAGAAGCTCCAGACCTGTCAGAACACTGCACTCCGGACTATAACGGGATGCCACTTGATGTCCCCAATCGAACACCTACACAGTGAGGCCCGTATGCTTCCGGTTAAGGAACATAACGAGCTCCTCTCCAAGCAGTTTCTGCTGGGATGTTTTCGTAGAAACCACCCCTGCAATCGTCTGCTTGTAGCAGAATCGCCTCGTAGGAACATCAAGAGGTATTTCCTTGATTACGTCGACGACATTAGACAGTACGCCGACCGGACTTCGGACGCAACGAACTTCAGGAAGGCACTGACCGCCATTCACAGTGGAGCCATCAACACCTTCCCCGACTCCCACTTTGTGAATGGCGTATTACGAGTCAAACCACCACCCATAGCAGACGTAGAGCACGAGTTGCCTCGCGAAACCAGAGTGACCCTCGCGCAACTTCGTTCTGGATATTGTAGCAGGTTAAACTCCTACTTATCCAGAATAGATCCCGACATACCAAACACATGTCCCGCGTGCAATGAGTCTCCGCATGATACTAACCACCTCTTTACATGCCCAACAAACCCCACTCATCTAACACCCTTTTCCCTATGGTCCCACCCCGTCGAAACAGCTCGTTTCCTGGGCCTCCCGTTAGATGACCTCGTCGACAACCAATCTGGAATTTATCACCCAAACAGGGACTAGGTAACCGTTACAACAACAACAACAACAACATGGCTCCATTCATTGCATGTATTGCACCTAACAGATGTGGAGTTAGGATGGAACCTATTAGCGCAAATGCACCAGAAGAATTCCTCGGAGCCCCGGTTGGACTCGATGCCAGCACGGGTCAGGAGGATACGGAGTAACCATGCTGTTAGGTGACGACAGTATTATTACTTGTCGATCCAAACAGGGTTAGATCCTTGAATTAACAGCCATTGGGCGGTAACGTAGAACCGGTTGTTGTCGGAATTTGTTTTTGTGATCACAGTTGCTACCACTCGCTTAATCCCAGCGGGGAAAATCGTGGACCTCCACCACAATTTCGAAGCCAAAACAGAAGTTTTAGCAAGCGAGCGTAATACTTTACGCCAGATCGATCCCTGTGATGTCCGTATAAGGAATCTCAATTCGGGATTCGGCATATAGTAAATGAGCATAATCGGTTATATCTATATCAAGTTAGGAAGAGAGGTCCCACACCCACTTTTTGTTTTCAATTTTCAGCCCACAGATGCCTCTATCTACAGTATGTAGGCGAATCACACTAATTATAGTTTCGTATCTTAATTCTTAACTTAGCTATGGCATTCTGTGGATGTGACAGTAGTGCGATTGCATCCATTTACAATACCGAATCTTATGATGCCAAGAAATATGTGTAGAAAGTTTCATCATAATATTTTAATATTTCAAGTTACAGATTGCACAGACGGACGGACAGACAGACAGTCGCCGGGATTTAAACACGGCCGGCAGATTATCAACTACGCAGTACCTGCAGGTTTACCGGGCTTTAAAACGCAGAAAAAGAATATAAATACATGCGAAAACCCCTCACTTCGAACCAAAATATTATGCCTCGTGAATAAAACATGATGTCATAGATTATTTTTCCATAAATGTAGCTGTATCGAGGCACTACACTAAGCTCCGGGCAATTACACTATCAACTTCCGGTTTATTTACTTGGACTCAAACTGGGTATAATTAAGAGCCCAACCAAGTCGAAAGTTTATGCTCCAATAAAAGCACCAAAAGTCTATACTAACATTATAAGTTTATAATGACACATATAAACTTTTCTTACGTACCTTGTACATTAAAAGATCCAGGACACATTTTGCTGGCGGCAGTCCACTGCGTAGCTAAAGCTTGCGTACTGATATCGACTATGCAGGTAGGTCCCTGTAATAATTCATTCTCGTTGGCTTTTAGCAAGATTTCCATGTCTTCTTCACAGTTTTTTGCAAGATGAACTACTAAGAAGCTTTCCGATTTAACAATCTATAAATATAAAATCACAAAAATTATCCGAATATTAGGGATTGATGAGAAAATAATGAAGATTTGCTAAGTGGTCATAATAGCAACCCAATTCTGATTTTCAAGGACCTCGCAGGATATGATTAGATTTTAGTCTTCAAAAGTCTTCATTACAATCACATTTGGTATTTTATTAACTTATATTATAGATTAAAGATAGTTTAGGGCTAGACGAACATATGGACTAATTGTATTCCCTTTTAGCATTGCTAAGTACGTATACTCGAGAACAAGCTTGCATCCAATTTTGTGAAGATAACTCATACGCTGTGTGGTATATTCGGCATAGTCTGCTAGAATTACGAATATTATTATATATAGTATAGTACTGGCGTAGTTCATAAACCGATTTTATACATTTTCGACATTAAACTATAGTATATCGAATAGTATTCGTTCAATTAATTTTGCTTACGTATTGCACGTTTGAAATTCTTAGTTTAGGTATGTATATAGGGCCTACGGATGGTATTGACCCGATATTATACATTTTTGGCATAACGACACATCATGAACAGAAAAAACGATTTATGAGTTTCATTAATAATACTAACATATGCTATCTAAAGTTTATGAAGATAACTCAAATATAGACCGATATATGTTTTAAGTCAACCGGAAATTCGAAGATCTTTAAATAATATTTCGATAGTCTTTTGTTTTAATTTGTAGTGAAAGAGTTAGATGGAAATTGTGCTATAATGTTAAGCACCAAATTTGATTGAAACCGGTCAAGTAGTTTCTGAAGTTTTAACTAAAGGTGGGCGGTTCCACGCCTATTAAAACCGGTTCCTATGGAGCCCTCCTATACCATGTCGGAGGTAGAATTTAATGTGTTTGCCGCATTTACTTATTGATTTAATTCTTAATATAACCGTTATATGAAGAAGTGCTAGGAACTCTTTCACAGTAAGCTTTAGTGGTTTGAGAGATATGCACAATAAACTCATAAGAATTTTTCACAGTAAGCTTGGTTGAAATAGCTTTAATGGTTTGAGAGATATGCACATAAAACTTATTGGAGTGCAGGACCACGCCGACATGAAAAAAAAAAAATTGTTGCAAATACCCTTCCATAATTTTTGTTTTTTTATTAACATTTTGTGAGCGTGGTAATAATCCAACTCTGCCCAATATGCAATACCAACCTTCTTATGATGACATGTGTAGAGAGTTATCTAATTTTTTATTTAGGTTTCATATATAATATATTATTACATACATACACGAAGGTTTCGACTGCAAAGCAGAAAATAGACATTATTGTGTTTAAAAAGCGAGAAATGACAAATGTTGATTTTTCTCAAAAAGTTTGTTGTAACGAATTATCCGTGAGGTGAAATATGTGACAGTGTCCTCCACCAGCCTGAAAGCGGTCGTGGAAGAACTACGAATCAAAGAGAAGACAGGGAGCGACTGCGGAGCTTAAAGATGCTCACCAAATAGGAATAAGCAGCTCAACTGTCAAATTTTATTTTAATGCGAACGAAGAATCACGAATGTGTTCGAATTTTGATTATGCTATCGTGAACTTCCGCAATCTGTCACACATGTTTTTGTTTTGATTTTGCGGCATCTAAAATCGTACGTGTTGACTTTAAACTTAATTAATTTTTATATTAAAATGAATAGTGTATACTTGCGACTTCGTATATTGGAAAAGGAAAACAATTCCCGCCAGCAGTTGGCTGAAAGGATTTACCGAAGTAATTTAAGAGACAATACCAATCTTTTTGAATTACCCAATACAAGATAAATTTTATTTAATTTTTAAATCATTTCTACCTTAATTTATAGTTTTAAATAGTTATACAGAATGAATAAGCCCACGTTTTAATACTTGTTGAAAGTGTTACAAAATAAATTGCCAATGGAGAGTAAGCATTTTCCAATAGATACCATTGTATAACTATCAGCTTGTTTGCGATTTCTTGGAGAAGGAGCGCCACCAGCTCCAAATTTGTTGCAAGTCATTCTGTCAATAATTCTTTGTTTACAGGCCATTTGACAGGCCATTTGACGTGTCAGAATATTTTTTTTATATGGAAAACATTTAATATCTCGCAGTGATTAGATTATTTGTTTTAAAAGTTTAAAAGCAAAGGAAATTTATGAACAATTGTTAGAAGTGTATAAGGAGTCATCAACTTCAAAACGCACCGTTGAATTTTGTGCTGGTGGATTGAGACGTGGTCATACTAGGCTTGAACACGATCCACGCGAAGAATATTATATTATTTTCTGTAAGGAAAATAAACGTTTTCTCATTTTTTTCCCAGCGAGTTTATCAGTGAGTAGCAACCAAATAGTTTTACATGAGCCAACTGTTGAGTCCATGCCTCATGATGTTCGTAGCAATCACCTGATTGACAAATTGAAGACAATTCAAAATGAGAAAACAAAATTTGAAATTGTTTCGCATTTACTTAAAATTGCATCAAGTCATAGTGTTCTTTCCTCAGGTTCTCTATTTCCGCTTTTACTTGCAACGGAAAGTAATTGTTTTGGTTGGATGTTTGCAAATTGTTCATTAAATGTTACAAGGTAACTAACCTAAAATGATGAGATAATAATTAAATAATTTCTCGATTTTGGGAAAATTTCAGTTAATAAAAAAATGTTTTCACCTGTTCATGAACAATAATGAACCAAAGCTTGGATAGTGGATTACTGAAAGAAAGTCGGATACATCTGGCTTTATTGAGGGGCAAAGGAAGGTCGTAGAAATACGTTTTCAAAGGTTGGAACATTCGATTGATTTTCCGCAAAGCTTATCTCAAGCCAATGAACCGAGTTTTGCAGTAACAAACCAGTTGATCGTATTCGTCTTCATAAATCTTACAGATTGACTTTAATGTTTCTGTGCGAATTGTGTGGATGTAAAATGAGTGTAGATCTGAACAACAATGCTCTCTATTTCAACATCAAGTGCATTACATGCGTTAAGAATCGTACTATGCACAACATGCTTTGCACAACCTACGCCAACTATGTTCGATTTTAATTTTTTTTAATTTTTCTTAACTTTTATAATCAACGCGGCAGAAATAAGCGATCAATTTATCAGTTAAATCGAAAGTTTCCAAGACCCTTTAATCAATGAAAAATTCATATCCGACGTTTCACCTTTTTCTGGACAAAGTTCAATTATTTTAATATTCATTCCAGATAATGGAAGAAACTAACGAATCGGGCTTTCTGTATATCAGACTTCAGGCATTCCAAAGCGAATGGTGCAAAAACATTGGTTATTATCGATTCACTTTTTGTTCTTGAACACGAAATTTTTTTCATTTGGAAACAGGTTCGAAATATTTTGCTTGCGCAGTCGTTTCATCTACAATAAAAAGTTTGAAAAATCTTGAATCGGACGATAACTGCGGTTTTTGAAATGATTTTTTGAATAACAAACCTAACACTGTGATTCTCTCTCAAATCTGGTTTATCTCCGATGCAAAAATCTGATATGATTGAAGTTTGCATTTGCTGCCACTTTGTTCTTCTTTGTATTCAAATGATTATCAATATCAATGCCTCCAGCAGCAACAGAAAAAGTTGCATTACATTTGACGCAACAAACGTTGGAATCGCCATAAGTGGCTTTTAAAAAATTACTGTTTCTTCAAATTATAGTTGAAAGAACCCTTTTGTTTCAACAATTCACAAAGTAATATTTATTCGTAATTATTAATACTTAAAATTCATAAATTATCTTGTGTTTCACTTTGAATGTTGTCAGTGAACAACGCTGACGTTCGCGCCATTTAAACCAAATGTTGAATGAAGAAATGGAGTATACAGGGTGGGCCATCTACTTTGTTCCGTTTATTGAGAATTTTTTAAATTTAATTTCTGAGCCCGGGACGCTTAACTCGGAATAAGGGACTGTCCCCACCAAACCGGGGCGAATGACACCTAACTCTAAACACAAATCATTGCTCTCATCCTCTACCATCTCCAGTACCGAATGACCTTCGACTCTCCTGCCTGAATTATGAAAAAATAAGTAAACATGTCTAATTTTATGTATTTGTATATTATTACTTTTATTATATTTTTGTTTTCCGAATTTGCTTTCATCTATATGTACGTTTTTTTTTTTGGCATGTAGAGCAGGTTCGCCTCCGCGTGGTGCATCCTGACCTGCGGCCTTTTCTTGAACTCCTGATCTGACCTTTGCTCGACCTGGACATAGCTTGGACAATTAGATGGATTCGGTTGAACCCTGGGCTGGTGGTCTTGGCATTCTGTCACCTGAGTATGCAGGGGTGATACCCTGCAGAAATGGCTGATGGGCTAATGCCAAGGTCGCCTCCGTCCCGTTAAAACCATGGCAGACCTCGGAGTACGTTCCCCTCCCGTCATCATTAAGTTGGTGTGGTAGGTGTTTGTTGAGATGACTCCTTCTTTGCGCTGGTCGGCTAACTGAGACAACCTCGGGACCATAAAAGGCGACTACCTTTCCGGGAGACGGATAGCGGCTCTGAGTGGGGACCCAACAAAACAAAATGCAAACAAACAAAAACACTAAGGACGAGGGAGGAAGTGGGTCGAAACCGACCTCCGCTTTCACCGAGGGGGACGAAATCGTCCCCGGTTAAGGGTGAGAAAGGAAATCCAGGGGGTGCCTGGCTTACCGTCACGGGGGGCGGTAAGGCTGGGGGAGTCGGCAGGAGTCTGCCGACGGCAACCTTGGGTAGGGCGGAAGTGCGCGGCGGAATCGCCAACACTAGCAGAGGAACCTCTGCTAAGTTTATGGGGGTCACGGGGTCCTCGGCGAACGCTAAGGGCCCGGTGGGGAAGCGTGTGACTGCAGCTAAAAAGCTGAAGTCTGATCGTCAATTGGCTGCCAAGATTTTGGAGCGCTGAAATCTGACCAGCATGTTAGCACACTGGAGTGGGCCAAAAAGGTGCTGGGCGACGGGAACGTGGGGCCGAGCGGGCCCCATACCTCAATAAAGCGGCAGAGATCGCAGGAGGGGGAATCCTCCCTCGGCAAAAAACTTTGGGTCGGACCCGCACCTATGTTTAGCGAAATCGCTAAAGTCGCAAGCTCAGTGGAACTTGGGGTGTACGACCGAAGTAGAGGAGATGGAGCCTTCTCCTATGACGAGTGAAAGCGGGTAGCGGCTGCTATCTCCGCTGTTTTCATTAAGGTGGTCAGGGGAAGCCCTGGACCACCCCCTAGATGTGAAAGTGCCGGGTGGAACCTCGGCATTCACAAACTGATTAGGTGTGCCGACGAACGGTCGGCTCTCCTTTATAAGGAGGCGGTAGCCAGGGTAGGGGAGGTGTGGAAAGGAGCAAGGCTCGAGGCGGTGGCCAAATCGGATCTCCCGATGCGGCCTCGGGCTCGGGTCTGGCTTCCGGCCGAACCTTCCACCCCGGCCGAAATTGAAGAGATGTTGCGGTACTGCAACCCATCTCTCCCCACCCAAGACTGGAGGGTGATCAGGCTGGAGAGGACCGAGGCACCATATCGGCAAGCGCTGATAATCCTAAACAAGGAGTCCCTCGCTCCTCTCAGTGTCACAAAGGGGGCCATAAGCTATGGCTTCGAGAGGGTCGTTCTCAAGACGCTCCCAACAGAAGCCAGGGCGGATGGCCCGCTGCCTCCTGTGGGGGCGGAAGAGAGTGGGAAAGTTCCCCTCTCGAAAATGGATGTCGACCCTGTCCTCTCGGACGCGGTGAGGACGGGGGGCGGATCGTCAGGCGATGATGGATCCGTCTTCAGTTTCGAGCATCTGTTCGAGGAGGCTGGCGTCGATGATATGGACGATGGTGCGGAACTCGCACTGCTGGATCTTCATCCTCCAAATTAACCTCTAGCACTCAAAGGCGGCCTCCGCCGATCTAATGCCTCGTCTAGGAAGGGACGAAGCCGACGTTGTCCTTATCCAGGAACCGTGGCTGAGTAGCTATGGGATATCTGGACTAAGGACAAAAAGCCATAAGCTCCTGGCGGCAAGCAGCACAGGTAGAACCAGAGCCTGCCTGTTGGTCAGAAATGAACTGAACGTTTTTCTTTTACCTAATTTCAGCAACGAGGACGTCGTCACCGCTAGGCTGGAGGACAGTGCTAGGGAAATCTGGCTTGTCTCAGCCTACATGCCGCACGACGACGAGGTGGAACCACCTCCGAACTTGTAGAGGATGGCTCTGTCAGAGGCCAGGCGCAAAGGAGCCGCGGTTGTAATAGGCTCGGATGCCAACTCAAGGCACACCGTCTGGGAAAGCTCGGACCCAAACGCAAGAGGTGAGTCACTTTTTGATTTTATTTGTGATGTAGACCTTTTTATCTGTAATAGGGGAAACTACCCTACTTTTGTGACAGCTAGCAGGGCGGAAGTCCTTGACGACACGCTAGCCTCTAGGGAAATTGCTCTCTTGATTTTGAAATGGAGAGTTCTAGACGACCACTCCTTTTCTGATCATAAATATATTGGGTTCAGCTTGGACGCCTCGCGCCCGAAGCATAGAACCTACAAAAACTTCAGGAATACCAATTGGGTCCTGTATTGCAGGAAGCTTCGATCAGCTCTTCCAACCGCGCCTGACAGGGATTCGATCCCATCTGGGGACGCGATTGAGGAGCTCGTCGAGGTTTTCAGCTCTGTTAGCAGATCTACTCTTGAAAGCTCCTGTTCTCTGAAAACTCAGAAAAGTAATGGGAAACCCCCTTGGTGGACTTCGGAGCTAACGGAGATCAGATCTTCGAGTAGAAGACTCTTCAATAAAGCCCGTAAAAGTGGCTCTAGCGACAACTGGGCGTTGTACAAGCCCGGATTGGCCATTTACAAGTCCGACTTGAAGAAAACCAAGAGGGCTTCGTGGAAAGCCTTCTGCGGCAGTGTAGAGGGTTGTCCTCAAGGTTTAGACGCATTCTTGCAAAAAATCCTACTCCGGTGGGGTATCTAAGAAATGCAGATAGCGGGTGGACCACGAGTAGTGAGGAGTCGCTGAGGCTACTCCTAGATGCTCATTTTCCACTAAATCGCTTTGCTGAAGAAGCGCCACGGGGGGAGCTTCAGGAAGGCTGTACAGCCTTCTTGGACCTTCTGGATCAGCGTCACCTTACCTGGGCGCTGAAATCTTTTAAGCCCTTCAAGTCCCCGGGTCCTGATGGCATCATACCGGCGCAACTACAGCGAACGGTTAAGGTGTCATATAGCTGGCTGGCCCCTACCTACGCGAACTGTGTTAGATTGGGCCATGTCCCGAAGGCCTGGAGACAGGTTAAGGTTGCGTTCATTCCGAAGGCCGGTAAAAGCTCTCATGTCGGTGCAAAAGATTCCAGACCCATCAGCCTATCCTCGCTCCTGTTGAAAACGCTGGAGAGACTTATGGATCTGTACATTAGGTGCAGAATACCGAGGGGTAAACTGTTACGGGCGCAGCATGCTTATATCAAAGGCAGGTCGGTCGACACTGCTTAGCATGATGTAGTGTCATGGCTGGAGACAGCGCTGATGCACAAGGAATTTGCAGTGGGCACCTTTCTCGACATCGAGGGGGCTTTCAATAATGTGCGACCAGAGGCAGTGGTTAAAGCCCTCGAAAAGTTTGAGGTGGAATCGAACCTCAAACACCTCATTTTCAGTCTTCTTTGCGACAGAACTGTCGTAGCGGAGTGGGGTAGTGCCAAGTCAACCAGAAAGACCTCTTGGAGGCCGAACATCGAGGAGAGTCAAGAAGGCATCGGTCGCCTTATACTGCTGCAGGGGAGCTATAGGGAAAAGGTGGGGACTCTCACCAAAGGTGGTGTTCTGGCTCTACGAAACCGTAGTCAAGCCAATACTGTTCTATGGTGTGTTCGTCTGGTGGAAGGCGCTCGAAAAGACTACCCTGGCTAAAAAGCTTGAGCGAGTCCAAAGAGCGGCGCTCATCGGAATCTCCGGTGCACTGCGAACCACACCAACGATAGCTCTCAACGCTATATTAATTATAGCACCTGTGGACATTGCCGGTAGGTGCATTGCTGCGAGGCGTGCTATTAGGCTCAGAGAAACTGGGCTTTTGAAGAGGTCCGAACAAGGACACGCCGCAATTCTCTCCTCCTTCACCAGCATTCCTGAAAATGTGGATCACTGCGTCACAGCGGCCACTCGAGGCAGTTTTTTCTCTGCTCATATCCCGACGACGGAGATGTGGAGGGGAAGAAGCCGCTGGAGAAGAGGCGCGGTGAGTTTTTTCACGGATGGGTCGATGCTAGGAGGGAAGGTTGGAGGGCAATTTTCTGTAAAGATCTCTCCGTCAATCTTTGCTTCAGGCTACCGGACCACTGTAGCGTTTTTCAGGCGGAAGTGGCCGCGATCAAGGTGGCGGTAGAAGTACTGTTACGTAGTGTAGCTTCGTTTAGAGAGGTGAGCATTCACTCCGACAGCAGAGCGGCAATACAAGCCCTAAGTGCGCGAACCGTGCATTCAAAGCTAGTCAAGGAGTGTCTGTCCTCGCTAGAATTAGCATCAGGTTACTTCAATATCAGGCTCGTTTGGGTGCCTGGTCACAGCGGAATCGCTGGGAATTGCAAGGCCGATGAGCTGGCCAGGGGGGGGTACCTTTGCCCCGCTCACATCGGAATGGGATCGAGTTGGTTCTCCTCGCCGCCATGGTAGGAGTTCTCACTGGGCACTGTCCAATGGGAACTCATGCGGTGCGGCTTAGAATACTACCCGATGGCAGTTGTCAAAGCTGTATGGAGGAGGGTGAAGTGGAAACATCCCGGCACTTTCTCCTCCATTGTCCGGCTTTTGCTAGGTTGAGATTGAAATATCTCGGCAATCACACTTTTGGACCAGAAGATCTGGCCGAAACAGATATTGGCCGTCTCAACAAGTTTGTCATAGGCACAAAGCGCTTTGTCGACATGTAAGGGTCTATTGATCGGGCTCATAGAAGTTTTGGGTACCACAACGGACCGGCGTTTAAGCTGTCCAAGTGTGATCCTTCTTAGGATCGACCCTCTAACCTAACCTAACCTATATCTACGATTTTACCTGAGCCACCAGCACTCCTAGAAATTACTTAAGTGTTGTTTTCCGACACTACAACAGCAACGGCATTTTCCTTTGCGGCAAATTTCGAGGAATGATGCCGAGTTGACAGTCCATTGCGGTATAAAAATCCGGGTCCGTTGCGGTTACTTAGACCCGACTGTCGTTGGAATAGTGTATGCCCGCTAATGCTAGCACTATAGGTATTTTGTGCGAACGGCACAATTTTCGGGACAATGTCAGACCCTGTTCTTCTGCATAAGCTACGCACTCTTCCATGGTGCTGAAAGTTTCGACAACTTTACTAATGTTTCACATTTTTTCAGTTATACCACGGTGAGTATATTTGTTGTACTCCTTCGTACACCGCGGCTGGTGGAAGGTTCATCGAATATATAATTCGGTATATGTATAGTTTAAGTCCCCCAACTAAGGAGGTCTCAAAATTAAAATTTTTCTTAATTTTACGCGTAGATTACAAATCCGTGAGCGGAAAGTGAATTTTTCTATCCTTTTTAAATTAAAAAAAATAAAAAATAAAAAAAAAAAAACGTTTATTTTTTTTTTTAAAAAGCATTAAAAATAAGAAATTGTGATACATTTAAATTAATTGTTTTATTTTTTTCTTTGAAAAAATCACTAATTGTTCAAGTTTTTTGGTGTATTTACTCCTCTACTGATGAGTCGCTGTGACTTTGGGGAGGGCACAATTGACCATAGGTCGCGGTGCATACCTCAATCATTATCTAATCTAATCTACTCCTCTTCTTCATAAACGTTTCTGAAACTTTATATTAAAATATCAATGTTAGTGCACTTTTATTGTGATATTAATAATAACACATACTCTGCATCGTGATGAAAATTGTCATCGAGGTTGAGAGCAGCGAAAAGGAGGGGTCGGCTTTAGTATACCGTCCCAGGCCGATATCTGAGATAAAATAGCCGCAGAGGAGATCCTCCAGATCAAGAATTTATATAGATATAGCCGCGGGAAACTTATAGTTTTCGAGATATTTACGTTTAAAGTTGAAAATTTCAACTATTTAAAGTACGTATTTTTGCGATTTGAAATGAATTTTATAAACTTATATTTCTCACTTTTATATCCACTAACACTTGACTAAATCGTTTTTAGACATTTCTTTTATATTAGAAGCTGCAAAAATAGCTTTATTTCAATATTTAAATCATTCTTCAATTTTATTAATTTTGACAATAACAAAATGGTTGTGAATGTCAAAACACCAGTGTTGCCATACTAATATATTTTGTAAACGAAGAAAAATAAAATATACAGAGAGATTATACCCTAGATACAAGAACCAACGCAAAAATAATTTCTGCGCAAAAAACCTTGGTACACCCCGGTGTTGGACCGACAAGGGTTATTTTTTTGAAGCGCGGCCAAACGCCGCCAACGCAAAAAGAAGTTCTGCGCAAAAAACCTTGATACACCCCGGTATTGAATCGACCAGAGTTATTTATTTGAAGCGCGGCCAAAGGCCGCCAACGCACAAAGGAATTTTACGCGAAAATACCTTGTTACATCTCGGTGTTGGGCCGACCAGGGTCGCAAAAAGAAGTTCTACAAGAAAAAGTAATATTGTCATAGAGGGTATAACATAATACTTAGAATCAATGCTCTGTAATAGTTTATTTCTCTAGGTTTTGGATTCCTGTATTAAGGGTATTATCTGTTTTCATTTCTTTCAGTTCAATTACAAAAGACGTCGATAAGGTAACACTGGTTATTTGACATTTTGCAACCCTTTTGTTATTGTCAGGATTAATAGAATTTAACAATAATTTAATTATTGGATTAAACTATTTTTGCACTATATAATGTAAAATAAATGTGTACAAACGAATTAGTGAAGTGTTAGTGGATATAAAAGTGGAAAATATAAGTGTATAATTCATTTGAAATCGAAAAAATGCGTACTTTAAATAGTCGAAATTGTGAACTTTAAACCCAAACATCTCGAAAACGCGGTAGAACTATGTTTCCCGCGGCTATATCTATATATATTCTTGATCTGGAGGATCTCTTCTATCCGCACATACCCATTTTATCCCCGAAAGCCTAGGATGTCATACTAAAGTTTTCCCCGGATTTGTAATCTACGCGTAAAAATAAGACGATTTAAAAAAAAAAAAATTCATTTTTGAGGCCTCCTTAGTTGGGGGACCTAGATAGATAGATTAATTTTGAGGTATGCACCGCGACCTATGGTCTATTGTGCCCTCCCCTAAGTCATATCGTATCATCTAGGCCCAGCATGTTGATAAATTCCAAAATTCTGCTGGGTGCTAGTGAGGCGATACAATCCCTGTGTGGAAACATGGATCCCAGGGCCTTGATTCTGCGTCTGCAGACTACTGTGCAGTTCATCAGCAGATGTTCAGGGGTTTCCAGCTCTATGTCGCAGAACCGGCAGTTGGCAGAAGAGGCTATGCCCATGTTGAAGAGGTGCTTCTTAAGCCTGCAGTGGCCGGTGTAGAACGCGACAAGTAGCCGGAATTTGTTCCTCGGGAGATTAATTATGCTTTTGAACCGTTTGAGGTCGTAACCCCCCATTAGCAGTCTGGCTGGGGGACCTAAACTATACACTTACCAAAACTGCTTGTTTTAAATATATAATTTACGACGATTAAAAAAAATGTAATTTTCGCGGCTTCATTCGTTTGGGGGACTATACATTTACTTTAATTTCTTCAAAAGACAAGTAATAAGTGGCTAAGTTAGAGTGCAAACGAACATGAAATATATATATGTCAAACATAAACTAAATTCCGATTATGGAAATTATCTACTGCCTCTAAAATTAGCTTTGTTTTTGGATTTAAATTCACCCAATAGCAAACACCCGATGACCCTCATTAGAGGGATATACATCAACACATTTGAACTTACCTGGCTTATGATAATGCCATAATTAAGACCACTATCGCCACTGCACTTCTCAAGATATCCAACATCCAGTTTGCTTAACAAAACAGACGCCATTATCATGTAGTCGTAATACACAATTAACAATATCTACAGCAACAAAAGCTTATATCAGATTCATCAAATGTTATACAAATTAACACGTTTCAAATGTCGAAACTATGTATAGACGATAGTTATACTTTACATCCCCTGCAACCAAATTATCGGTTGAATCGCCTAATACCATGTTTCCACATACACTTATGCATTAAACACATTGAAGACGACAAGCAGCATCTGTCAGATATTGGAGTACACACGTCCTTATGGTCACAGTTCATTAGACAACAGCACGCTTCATACCAACAGGCTTGCAATTGGAGCTGTCACTAATTTAAAACTATTTCTAATTACGTGCAAAACATTTTTGTTTTTCGTTTGTGTTCTCTGAGGCAAAATATTGGACACGTATTTTTTTTATTTCGATATAATTTGAAAATTTTTGGAGTTATGAAATTTCAATTTAACATAGTACCTTCAAACATTTGCGTATACGAAGAAAAGTATTCCATTATTAAAATATCTAGCCGGCTTAAAGTTTATGCTTTTTTCATAGCTTTCCAATGAGATATACGTTAAATTTATTTAAAAAAATGATAACCAAAACCTACACTCGTACAACAAATATTTTTTTTATTTATATATGGAACTATTTTTATCGTGTTTTTCTTATTGAAAAATGTACATGTACGGGTTTATTACTGAGAATTTTAGGCAACGTACTTTTTTCTTTAATACTTCCATTTTTTATATACATATACATTTGTACATAGTCATATCTTTATATGAAGATCTTTTCTTTGATAATATCATTGCGATACAGCACGTTTAAAAAAATCGTGTAAATTTCATATTTTTTTGCAACAATCAAACGTCTGATATTTGAATTTTAAAAATAACGTTCCATATATTGATTCTTATCTTATTTAATGATCTTTTCTATAGTTAATGACGTCTTACTGTTTTTTGTATTAAAGGAATGAAGCACGGCCCTAATATTTTCTATAAGTAGTAAAAATATCCAAACCTAGATAAATGGAAATGTTTTTGTAAATCTAAAATAACTAACGACTGCCTTTTTACTATCGCTTGATAAATAAAATTAGTTCTTTTGCATGATCCCTTTAAATATAATATATAACAAATAGTACTATTAAATGAAATATTACTAATTAATAAAATTAAATATTATAATTATCATTTCTCTCTTTTTGATCGCATATCTGTATATGTAAGTTGTCAAAACTTTACGTTCTTACGTTCGAATTCACCTCAAACATTTTCAGAATTTCACTTTCATCTGTCAGGATTTTAATTTTTCATTAGCGCTGCGTCTTCACAACGAATAGTTACGGGAAATTAAGTTGTTTGCAGTCTTTGAATTTATAATTTAAAGCTGTTTAATTCAGCTAGTAATTAATCAGAATTCGCATTTTTACGACGCCTGAATATATATTTATTTTATTGGCCGTTACTTATTCTGAGTTATTTAAACAGGTTCCCAATATCACAGCATCTACAGGGTGGTTTATAAATCGTGCTACAAGAATAAACCGTAATACCTTTTTTTCTGTATGAGTAATCGACTTACTTTATTTTTATTTGGCAGGTTATTATTTAAATTTTTTTAAAATGAATGCTTTGGATAGTGCAGCTATACCATGCTTTGCAGTCCCTCATTTCCGTCCAAAGGGAGTTTAGACGGGATGGACCATTATGAGGTTGTCAAACATGTTTGCCGAATCTGTAAATATCGCAAGAAGACCGTATCATCGAGATTTGTATGTTCATGTTCAAGAAACAATCGCGGCTGTTGCATCGGCAAATCCAAGAGTTTCCACTCGCAAATTATCGGTGCAGCTTGGAGTTAGCAGATGGTACAACGGATAATTCATGATGACATAAACCTGTTTCTGTACAAATTTCAAATAACAAGCCTTTCAAAACATTTATATTTGTAAATTAGCCTGGAATTTTGCAAAAAAAAAAAGATTGAAATGGCTGAAGAAGACAATAAATTGATCAATTGCCTATTTATGTCTGATTTGGCAAATTGGGATCTAAAAGGAATTGTAAACAAGCAAAACTGCCGTCATGAAACTCTAATTTCCGCTGGCCCCAAAGGTTACCTGACCTGACTGCACCAGACTTTTTTATGGGGTTATGTCAAGCACTTGGTGTATAAAACAAAACCCACAAATCTGACTGAATTGCAGCAGTCATTAAATTGATAATTGAGACAATCCCAACCTCAACCCTTCAGGCCGCAATCAATAATTTTTTAATTAGGTGTCTCATATGCGTGTCTGAAGTCATTTACGGTTCATAATTTTTCAAAATAACTAATAATATATATTAATATAAAATTCTTATTTTCTTGCAAATTAAATATAATTTCGTGAGCATGATATAGCTTAAACAGAAAAATATCAAATCTACTGATTTACGCTTAATAATACTTATGTTATTACAGTTTAAACAAATAGTACATTTTGAACAAATTGGACTTTCTTAGACTTAGACTCAAACTCGATTTTCTTGCAAATTCTATATTAATCACTTGAGCAAGGTACCGTTTATACAGAAAAACATAAATATTACTGACTTGCGCTAAAGTAAAAGTTCCATGTTATTACATTTTTAACAAATTCTTAAAGCAATGCATTTCGCAAAAAAATGCATTTTCCTAGATTTGGAATCAAAGTCGACTTTCTTGTAAATTGTATATAAGTTACTTAAGCAAGGTACCGCTTATACCGAAAAATATCAATTGTACTGATTTACGCATAAATAAGAATTTCATGGTATTACAGTTTTAACAAATTCTTATAATCAGTGCATTTCGAAAAAATTTCACTTTCTTAGATTTAAAATCAAAGTCGACTTTCTTGTAAATTGTATAAAAGATACTTGAGCAAGGTACCGCTTATATCGAAAAATATCAATTTACTAGCTTACGCTTAAATAAGACTCTCATGGTATTATAGTTTTAACAAATTCTTATAATCAGTGCATTTCGAAAAAATTACACTTTCTTAGATTTAGAACCAAAGTCGACTTTCTTGTAAATTGTATATAAGTTACTTGAGCAAGGTACCGCTTATACCGAAAAATATCAATTGTACTGCTTTACGTTTAAGTAAGAATTTTTTGTTATTTCAGGATTAACATTTTTTTATAATCAGTGCATTTCGAGAAAATTGCCCTTTCTTAGATTTAGAGTCAAAGTAGATTTTCTTGAAATTTGTATATTCATTTCTTGGGCGAGGTACCGCTAATACAGCAAAATATCAGTTTTACTGATTTACGCTTAAATAAGACTTTCAAGTTATTACTGTTTTAACAAATTCTTATAATCAGCATTTCGAAAAAACTGCACTTTCTTAGATTTAGACTGAAAGTCGATTTTCTTTCTTGCAAATTTTATATTGATTACATGATTAGGGTATGGCTAATACAGCAAAATATTAATTGTACTGATTTACATTTATATAGGACTTTCATGTTTTTACTGTTCCAACAAATTCTTATTAAATAATACACTCGATTGCACTCACCGTTTAAATGCGTTTATTGCAAGCACAAAAAATTAAAATGGATTTTTCGGCGGTATCCGCTTTGTTTATAAAGGCTGCAGATTTCACTTAAGGTACTCGGGCGAGAAGTTGCTGCGACCGGCGGACGTCACTACGGCTCGAAATGCGCATGAAAAAGAAAACCTCTGATCTCCCTTTTGAGTGTTGGGTTGTGTAAAGTTGTGGTGTGATATGTATGTGTGGGTAGTCTGAGTGGTGTGATGTTTGCAGGGGTGCTGTGTGTTTGTGTGTGTTAGTGGGTGGGGAGGCGTAACTTATCTAGCCATCCCGGCCCCCCTAGGCGAATTCTAGCCTAGCAACCGCTGTAGTTGCTGCAGCGTGGCAACAACGCTGCTGAGGCCAGTGGAGCGGTGGTATGTTGGCCTGGGCAGCCGACGCTGCGTTGATGCCTCCTGTCGCCTCGGTTTGGATGGAGGTGGAGCTACTGGTCTTCAGAGGCGATCCGGATGGCTGCTCTGCTGTGATCTGCAGCTTGGGGCGAGTTGTCGCCTGACGGCCCGCTTTGGGGTGCGGTGCAGCATGGTGTGGTGCTGTCTATTACACAGTTTGCAAAGCGTAACGGACGTACACTCCGGAGTCGTGTGGACCGTAGCCAAACAATTGAGTCAGTGCCCGTGAGCTTGGGCAACCTGCTGACGTTAGATGGGCTGCATACCTTGAAAAATGCTGCATTGTTGCAGCCGGTGTGTGCGTCGACACAGTGGGCTTCGGCTGCGTTGAGGTACCGTTGCTGGTGCTGATGAAGGTGCTGATTGCCGCTGCGGTTCGTGGTGCTGGAGGTGCCCCAGGGCGCGGCACATTGATGGCGGACCTCACAGCTGGTGTTGGTGTTGTGGCCATATCTACATTCATTTTTATCTGTATGAAGAAGTTAGAATGGTTAAATTTTAGGCATGTAAATTTTTGGCGAACACATCATAGACAATCATCGTGTATGATGACACATTCTCCAAGCTTTGGTGCCTTTTCTGGAGTTTTCCATCGGTACCTTTTATGAAGGTCCTTGATGTACTCTTCCTTCCAACGGCGGCTGAAATCATGATGGAGAATTTGGATTGTTTTCCATCGATTTAATAAGGATAGCGACCCCACGCCTGGTTCAGGTATGGCCAGGGATCTTGCGAGAGTGTTGTGAGTGGCCGTGAATTGAGAACGGCTTCAATTCGGATTAAAAAGGTTGTGAATTCTTCATAATTGAATTTATAATTTCCAGCGACTTTTTTAAATGGGATTTGAAGCTTTTTACAGCTGATTCCCATAAACCACCCATATGAGGAGCGCTTGGGGGGATAAACTGCCAATTAATGCCTTGGGGAGCATACTTCTGAACAATTTCAGGTGATACTTGTTTAATAAAATCCATAAACTGTTTTTCACTGGCTCTTTGGGCTCCAATGAAGGTTTTGCCGCTATCGCTCATTAGTTTTGAGGAGAAGCCGCGTCGTCCGGCGAAGCGAGCATATGAAAGTGGATATAATTGAGGGGTAACGTGGCAAGTCGAGATTTCTCTGGTATGATTAGAGGGTGGCGTTCGTTATACGTGAGCAGACCTTTCGTGTCTAGGAATGGGTTAAGAACTAAGAGTGAACTCCTCTTGTCAATGGGTTTTGATTCTCTTAGTGTTATATCGCGGCTGAAGTAGCGCGTTTGAGTTGATGCGATTAGAGCAACCTTTGCCTTCTTCAATTCTAGGCGCGTCAATGTATAGCATAGGTACTCTGAGGGAACTCCCTTAACTTAAATTTTAAGTCGCTCTATGAACTTCAACATATAGGCGATTACTCTGAGGATTCGGGAGAACGATGAAAATCGCTCAAGGATGTCAATATCCTCCACTGCTGTGTGAAAGGAGTCGATTTTTCGACTTTTTGGGGCTATTATATTGCGCATGGACGATTGTGACCAAGAATTGGGAGATTCGGTTAACCATCGGAAACCATTCCACCTGAAGGTGGTGGTGGTAAGGTCCAGCGGTTTGCACCTTCTTGTACCTAGATCGGCAGGGTTGCCAGCACTGGCTACGTGTCGCCAAATGGCTAATCCCACTAGGTCAAGTATTTGAGACGTTCGATTAGCAATGTACGTCTTCCATGCATGGTTTTTCCAAACAGGCTAGAACAATTTCAGAATCGGACCAGAGATACAATCTATATTTCTTCATGTTTAAATGGGTCTGCACCATGAAAACTAATTTTGTGAGTAGTAGCGCGCCACAGAGCTCAAGTCGA